GGGGGAGGGAGGAGGAGGGAGGGCACATCTAGAAAACAGATCTTACACCCTTCATAAAAAGTGCCTTAAAATGACCACCCACCTAAACATAAATGCAGACAGCTCTGAGGATGGCAGAGGAGGAGACCCAGGAGACCTTGGCTTTAGTCGTCGCTTTCTAAAACATCAAAGGAACCAACCATGAAAAGAAGAACAGATCAGCCGGGCTTCACTGCGACCATCAATTCTGCTCTGAAGACATAGTCAAGAGTAGGAAGACAGTCACAGAATGGAACAGAACACTGGCTGAAAAGTATGGCAATTTCTCTATTATGTTACTCAAAATATGCCAAAGAAAAACCTTAAAACTCAACAATAAGAGAGCTGGAGTGAGGGCTCAGCAGCTCAGAGGACTGTGGATTGCAGTTCAGAGTGCAGATTGCTCTTGAAGAGGACCCACGTTCGCTGGGAAAGCAAATGTGTCGGGTGGTTCACCCTGCCTGTAACTCCAGCTCTGGGGATTCCAACACCTTTGCGTCTAGGTCACTGAATTCACATACAGTAGCCCACACACAGAGACACATACACGCACACAAAATAAAAAATTTTTTTAATCTGAAAAAAAAAAAACCCTCAATAATAACATGAACAGTGTGATTTTAAAACCCATGAAGGAAGCCAGGTCTGGTGGTGCGCCAATGCTCCCAGGACTCAGGAGGCAGAGGCAGAACTGCTGTGAGATCAAGGCTGGCCTGGTTTACACGGTGAGTTCCAGGCCAGCTGGGGCTTAGGAAGACCCTGTCTTAACATCAACAGCAGCAAAGCCAGGATGCTCACAGACAGGAAAACCCTATGCTGTGTTAGTTCCTTGTGTTGAGACAAAACACCTGACAAGCCCCTCAGGGAGGGGTTTAAATAGCCCACCTTTGAGGGTGCCATCCATCATGGTGGGAATGGGGCAGAAGCCTGAGGCAGCTGGTCCCATCACATCTGCAGTCAGGAAGCAGAGAGAGATGAATGCTGGTGCTTAGCTCGCTTTCTCTGTACAGTCCAGGACCCCAGCCTAGGGAAGGATACCACCACATTTAACTTTCTCATCTCAATTAACCCAATGTTCCCCATGGACCTGCCTGGAGGGAGGTGTGGCTCTCAGACAATTCTAGATCCTGTCAAGTTAAAGGTCAGTACGCCCTTGTGGGGGTGAGGGGTGGGGCAATGCAACTGCAACAAGAGCTAGATATCACAATGCACCTGTCAAAGTGGCCAGAATCAGAGCGTGAACACCACCAGGCTGGGGAGGGTATGGAGCCCCAGAGCCCGCTGTTCCCACTTGGGGATGCGCCATTCAGCCACTTTGGAAAACAGCTGGGAAGTCCTACCAAACAGAACATACATTGATCTACAACGCCACAGTCGTCCGCCATGGTATTTACTCAAAGGCACCGACAGCTGTCTCCACATAGAACCTCACA